GGGTAGAGAAAATAGTAACTAGGAAGTGAAATGGTTTAAGGAAAACAAGGGACAGGGAGGTAAAAATACAGATGTTGTGGATATATGACATAAACCAGAAAAGAGATGTTTAAAAATAATCTGTTTTACAGAATTTCTTAACACATGCTGAAATTCATAGATAGGACATTAAAAACAGACATCATAAAAAACCTCCAATGATATTTTGCTTGTTTGATTTGGAGGTGACCCATCACGGTGTCCTAAATGGTCACACCTGTGAGTTCATAGTGCAAAAACATTAATTAAAGCCTGGCTATATCTCTTCCTAATTACTTGGAAAGTACATGGATGATTTTCCACTCACTTAAGGTACAAATAACATTCTGTATGGTTAGCACATGAAACAGACCTGTAACAAGAGTGTGTGTCTGTGACATCAGGTGTGTGCATCATTTGCTGAGAGACAAGAACCTGCCTGCTGAGCAGATTCCCAAAACTAAATGTGAGAAGAGTTCTTCCACTGGCAATGCTTTTTACAGTATTTCTACAAACCTGGTAACAAAGTTAATGTCAGGAGTCTAAAACAGGTGTTTTTTTGCAATGCTATTACCTTCCAAGGAGACATTAGCAAGAATTATTGAAACATCCCTGGATCAATGGTATTTCACAACTACCTTACTAGAGTCCTTTATTAAATTTATATTCCGGGCTGAAGCTTTACAGGTGGTTTTTTTTTTTGGCTTGGCTTTTTTGGTTTGTTATTTTTTAGACATAGTAGTGAGAATTAATAAATCAGACCTCTTGAGAAATGGTTATTTCACAATCACTTACTAATGCTTCTGTTAGGAAGGTAAATAAATGAAGTTGTGCAAAGAATAGTGTCAGTGTTAGGGGATAACCAAGTACTAATTTCACTGAACAAGAATAGAAGTTTAGTAAGAAGGAGGTAAACAGAAACCAGCTTAGACACAGAACTTTTCTGTGCTCTGCCTTTGGCAACAGAAGCAGGAAAAATATCTCAAAAACCTCTCCAGAATAGTGGCAGAGTGGAAGGGTGAAAATGCTGGCTTCCCTGAGGAGCCAAGCCTTAGGTAGTTGGGGGAACTGAAGAATAATTCATTCTGTTAGCTTATCTTTTTTGAGCTGATTGCAGTATCTTACTCCCTTTGCTTCCTGATAATATTAATTGGTTGGTGTCTTTTTAAACTTGATCTGGGAGCTCAGGACTCTGAAGCAGCATAAGCTGATGGAAATCTACCATGCAACCAGCCTCTCCCTTGATCCAACAGTATTGTGGCATCCACTTGAAAAATGCCAAATACATCAGCCAGATTCTCTTTTGACTTGAGATGAGGTCATTCTCCTTGAGTAGGCAGGATCTAGTTTCAGTTTGGCCTGCAAGGTACAAAATGGCCCTTGACCCAGGAAAAGCACCCTTCCCTTCTTTCAGGAGATTGCTTATATACATATTCAATTCAGATGGGAACAAGGATGTACATTTTTTCTACCCAAAGTTTAACTTGTCTGAGATGATGTTCAAGATAAGGTGATAGACATCTAAAACCAAGATGTCATCCACGTGTAAGGAATTAATATGAAATATCTGACATGGAAATATTTCAGGAAATGTAGTTTTATATGCTTCTATTCCAGTATTAATTTTCAAAAATATCAGGCGTCCAGAAGCTGAGTGTATTATGCCAGTTTTTTCTTCAATACTGAAAACCAAAAGCATAGATGACTGTCATCAGGTAAGAGAAGTACAGCACCTTGCTCTTATTGCTCTAAAGGATCCCATGGGCCCAGACTCGTTCACCCTAGTTTTGGGATTCTCCACTGTGGTTGTATCTAGTGACTTAAAGACCTACTTCCATACATTTGTGGGGGCTGTTAAAACTTTTGTTTTTTCCTTCATCTTCTCTTCCTACATCAAATAAGTAAAGGAGCTGTCTGGGTGATTCCTAGGATTGTTATTTTTCACTGACACAAATAATGATTAAGTGCTGAGTGTTGTTGTCTGCTAGGGAGGCTGGAGGCAGAATGGTCAGATAAGATGGCATGAGCAGTTCTCAGAGTATACTATTGCAGCCTGCTGTTTGTTTTAAAATATTAATCTACCTTCAGATTGGAAAACCTGTTTTTTGATCTGGTGTGGTGTCATGTTAGTACTATCAGAGCTTTGTGATTGCCAAAATGGGGCAGCAAAATGGTCTTGGAAAGTTTCCATGCAGATAATCTGTCTTAAAGTGTAAACATGCTAGGTGAAGATTTTTGAACTGAAAACACTATCTTTGTGGGAGTAACTAGTGCATGAAAATGCTGTCATTTACAGGAATACATGTGATATGGATATTTAAATCTATTTTACTGGTACCTATATGGGCTTTCCACAGTGCCCTCTGTGGGATTTGCCTTACAGGATGGGGCTTTGAGCAGTCTGGTATAGGGGAAAATGTCCCGGCTCGTGACAGGGGGCTTGGATTGAGTTGATCTTTAAGGTCCCTTCCAGCCCAGACTGTTCCATGATTCTGTGGCTCAGCCTGGTTTGAATATCAGCAAAAGTTGCTCAATAGCAAGAGGACCTGTGCAAGGCCCATGCAGCTCCCTGGGCTTCTGCAAAGGGTCAAGACTTGTTTGCAAAGATCAGGGACATCAGCTTTTCCAAGCTCTGAGGCATGCCCCTGGAAGCACAACATTTGTCTATTTATCTGTTTGCTGCTCAGACCCAGAGTACTTGCTTTCATTTTGGAAACAAACCTTCCCCTGTATTTGTGTTTGCTCTGAGATAAGTGGTGCTGGCATCTCTGACAGCAAGAGCTGACCTGTGCAGGGCAGTCTCCCAGGAAGGAGAGGATTCTGGAATAGCCAGATAGCACAAATTACTTGCCAAAGTACAGGAAAACCTACAAGTGTCTGCTCATACTGTCCTCTTTTAGGGTAGTAACACCAGAGAAAGCTGAAGCCTGGGGATTTTTTTGTAAGTTGTTAGGGGTCCTCCAAAGTCAGCTAACTTTTGCTAGTAATTGTGCTCACATAAGCATGATTTCCTTCTAACAACAGGCCAAAGATCTTCTGCAACAGCAGGAATTCTATGAATATTTCATGAGTAGCTTAAGCTAGAATTTTTAGGATTAAAAAGAGGAAACTGGGTCGTAAGCATCTAACTTCTTTAATGCTAGATTCGTATATGTTGCATTTTGAAAGCTGAAGAAGGAGTTTTTTGTGGTGGCTTTTTTTTTGTGTGGTGATGCGGTTTTTTTCATTGGACTATTTTATGGAACAATTACTTTTCCCTTTATAATTTTGTAGGGCAAATCCCAAGAGACTCATGGAGTTTCACAGTATGTCCAATGACTTCAGGAGATGCTTTCCCAGTATTAAGTGTCTGAGCTAAGTGTTGTTTTCAAATATTGTCACAAGCTGTAAATGCCAAAGCCACTGCCAGTGCCCAGATAAATGAAGTAATAACCTGAAGTTCAGATTAAAGGAAAGGGAGGTTTCTTCCTTTCTAAAGATCAGTTGCATTGGAGAGATGGAGAATGTAGTTACCACATCGTGCTGTTATTGCAATGGTCTTACAAACAGAACTAATTAAATGCAAGAGAAAGGATCCTGATGACTGTTTTTTTAATCTCTCTTACACCTGTAGGGGCTCCCTGGCATAACTTCTGTTTTAGTTGTTTTTAACTCTGTCTTTGGTATTGTGTGCCATATTAGGCTTCATTTTATAAGATGCAAGAGATGATGAAACAGAAAATGGAAAAAACTCACCAGTATATTACAGGTCTCTTTGGAGCTGTGAATAGTCAATATGGGTGTTCTCAATGTTTTCACACACAGTTTTACTCATGTCGCAATTATCTGTATGGTTAGTATCTTTTTTCTTATTATTTTCAACCATGTATGCATTTTTAGATTTGGTATATAAAATATATAAATGGCTAAGCTATAACATGGCTCTTAATGGTCTTTGTGGTCTTTTTAAAATAGAAGTGGAAATAGAAAGTGTATAAATGTAATTGATTGCTTAGCATTATTGTGGTAAAGAGCATTTCTGAATTTAATACTGTTGGGAGTTTTTTGTTACACAAATATACAGCAGTGCAGGATGAACTGTCTGGTGTCTTTGCCATCAAGATCAAGTGCTGAGCATTCAGTGCAACAGGAGCTTGGGGAGGGTAACCCAGTTAGTCCTGGTTGATGTATCTGTGCCAGCCTAGTCCTCCTCTCTGCCTCCTCACAGTTGCCTTTGGAAGCTGTCATCTATTCTGTAGTTTTGTCCCAAATGGGTTTTAGGTATTTTAAGAAAACTGAAAATTACAGCGTTGCACCTACATGATTATGACCGTCCCTTTTGCTGGCTCAAACTCAAAGCTGATATTATGTTGTCCTATAGGGGCTTGAATTGGCAGTTAGGATTTGTCTTCCTCCTCCCTCTGAAATACCTCCTCTGAGTAAGAGCATGCAGATACAAAATATAAAACGAAATAAATGGATTTCTTTTTGGTTCATTTAGGCCTTTGTGCTATTAATTCCATGGCAAATGTTTTCTTTTTAAGGCTGTACTCTATCACAGGGTGTTTTTTCCACAGTGAATGCTAGTGTCCACATTGGGTGCTAAAGTGTCACTTTTAAGAAGGGCAATATTTTTAATGACAAAGAAGAAAGTCTGAAGAACAAGTGGACCCTCTTTCTGGGTTTCTTTAACTGGAATTAGATTGCTTTACCTACAGGTTTTGTGGCTGACTGGCTTCTTTCTTTGCTTTTTGTCATAACATTTGGGGGTTTACAGCAATTAAATCACTACTCATTCACTATTCATGAAGTTATTTCAAACAAGCTTTTGCTCAATAAAGATCAAGTTTGGGTTTTGTTTTAAATCTTGAATACTGCCTCTTCACTAGGAGGAATTTCCACTTATCCTGTGAATTAATTGTGGGTTTATTTGGAATTAAATTACAGTGATTTTGTTTGGTTGGGGTATTTAATCATCATCTTCTTCTTTTCCCACTGTTCAGCTGTGAGGTCTGGCTGGCTGCCCCCACCACCACCTGCACTGCCCCCTCGACCTTCTGTATCTCAGGTATGGACAAAGCTTTAGTTCTCTGCTATGTGCTATTTGTTTATTTGTGTTACTGCTGCAGTGGTTAGCACAACTTGGCTTGGACATAGCAGTTGTTATTGCTTTCAAGTTAATGAAAATCTGCATTTTGCAGTTCCATGTCCTTCTTCCTGTGTCTGGCTGGCTGGCATGTTGCAGTGTCAAATTACAGAGTAATTAAACCTCTTTGCCATGGAGTTGACATGCACCCACTAGACCTAAGTGTAAATAAAAGGCTAGCAAAGTTAGTCTCCTAAAATGAGTTTCATGCCTGAAGGCATGGGCTTGATACCTGCTGTTGCTAGTTGTTTCTTGAGCTTCAAAAACACTGAGGGAAAACACTGAGGTTCCTGCTAAGGGAACCATGACATGGGAGTGTGTGCTGCACCCATGGGCTTGAAAAAAATAATGCTGAAGGAAGTGAATGCCACATCAGTTATGTTGTTAATTTCAAAGTTTCAAACCATTAGTGCTATGCTTTTATTTTGAATTTGGAGTGAGTTTTTGGGTTTTGTTTTTAGAGCATGACACAACTACAGCACAACACAAATTGACGAAATCATGCATGTCTGCATCAATATAATTCCTCACCTTTCAGGAAATGATGGAGGAGCATAATATTTTTCTATGTTGTTGGTTGTGTTAAGTCTTAGGCAGCAATATGCTTAATATATTACTCCTTTAGAAGTATATGATATATATACACTTCTATGACGTGTATGATAGAAAACAAATCCACAGGGAAGCTGACAGGCCTCACATACAAAAAGCTGGAGAGATACCTTCCTTAGGCTAGAATGGTCATCACTTGAGCTTTGGATGTACCCTTAAGAGTGTGCTGTTGAGCACCTCTTACTGCACAGTGCTTATGATAGAAATTTTTAGAGGCTTGCTGCCACACACATCCATCAGCAGCTTGTTGTGCTCTCCTTCTCCCCATCCCTTACTAGCACTGAGTGCAGTTTCTGACTTGAGGACTGTAGACTCTGGTTTGAGCTTGCATGTTTCCCCAGTCAGGATGGCATTAACCATGCTGCTAACAGCACACACCCCTTAGTGCCCCCATCACATTCCTGCTTTGTCTGACACTCCCCAGAGAGCAGCATTTCCCTCTGGCTTCCCCAGATCCCATAGCACAGCTCCCTACTCCCCGTCCCAGATCCCCAGTACAGCTCCCTACTCCCCATCCCAGATCCCCAGCACAGCTCCCTGCCTCCCAGTGGTGTGCCTGCAGTTGCTCCTGCCCCTGCTGCAGCTTCCCACAGTGCTGGCTTTGTGCAGTGCAAGCCCTCTTGCTGCCGTGGGGAAAGCACTAACTACAACAAATTCTCCTCTCACAGAACAAACCCGTTGGTTTTAAGCAAGATGCTGTTAATTGTCTGTTCTCTTGTCCTGTGATCAGGTTGCATTTCCTTAGCAGAGGAGTGACAACTTAATTTGTTTATGCATGTCCAGCAGCTTCCTTACCAAATACTGAACCAATTGCTCACCCTACATGGGGCATGCAAAATACAGGACCTTTCTAAAATGATAAACATGAGAAGATTCTCATGTGGAAGTTTTGATCCAGTCCTCTCCATTACAAAGGTCTGGTTTTTAAAAAGAAAGAGTGCTTTCTCTGCCTGCTCAGTAATGCATATCAGCTGATGCTTTGCTAACATGCTTCACTTACATTTACTTAATTTACTTCTGATGATACTTAAAGATATTGAATCAAATATCAAAATACTATTGTACTCATGTCTTCCAAAACTCTATCTAAACCAGTTCGTGAAAATACAATAAGCTTCATGCTCATGAGATTGTTAATTTTTTTTCTCCAAGCATTCCTGTCTGTGATAAAGTTAACAGATAGTAGGAGAAGTATGAGTGATGGGGTCATAATTCAGCTGAGCTGACCTTTGCAAATAACATGTAAACAATAGTGAACATTTGGATTACCATAGTCCAGTGGGACCTTGATTTAAGGAGCACAGAGAAGTTGGAGGAAGGGATCTGCTTTCAAAGCTGAGATAGGATCAAGACCTGAAGAAAAGCCATGAGGCTGAAATTGCATATTCAGCTTTTTCTTGTTTCAAGATTTACCAAATTCTCCTTAAATTTTTGTATTAACTTATTTTTCAACAGTGTTATTGAAAATCATTCTTTAGTGTCATTTTGCTGAACACCTGCAGTTAAGCACTGTTAATGACAAATGTAGCTTGCACGTGAAGCAAACCCTGCATATTTCAGGTGGCTGTGCACCTTATAAGTATGCTCATGATATGATTATTTTGGCTCAGCTTTGGAAATCAGTTGATGGAGGAGGAGAGGGAAATAATTTCTTTCTGAGGACTATAGTTTTCTATGGATGACTGAGAAGCAGCTTGAACCAGTTGGCTCCTTAGAGTGAGATTAAAGGACTCATAGGATGTAAAGACCAAAGTGCATAAAACAGAGGCACCCAGGGGTAGGTGTTACATTTCAGTGGATCAGAAGTCCAGAATATAGAAATGACACGTTGAATTTGGTCCTGTGTTGTGGTGCTTTTTAGTAGAATTATTTCAGCCTTTAGGAAAACATTATTTTTCCTGTCAGAACCTCCAAGGTAATCAACCTTGGTGAGTTACTGAATCACTGGTTATTCAGAGTGTGCCAAATACCTCCTCTCAATCACAAACTTCCTAAATTATGCCCACATCCAACTCTGCTTCCGTAGTCCAGGCAGCTGAATTACGAGGGACAAGGGCTGTATCACTGGGTGAGCAGAGCACAAGGTGATACTTAGAGCTGATACTCTTGTGGCCTTGACTTCACAGCTCAGGGGATGCACAGGCTTACTGTGGCAGGTTCGATGTTGGGATGCTGTGAGGACCTGTTTATGGCAAATAGCCTCAGGGCAGGCTTCTCTCTCAGCTTGCTGCTGCCAGCCCGTGCTGTTCCACACCTCTGCTGGGCAGACACCTCTACAGGTGGTGGCTGCATCTCTTTTTGCTTCTATGGCAGTTTTTGGAGCTGATGGATATAACTCTGTGTTTCCTTTTTCTTGATGGCCTCTAAAAGACTATGGTAGTTCCTTCTCAGGATGTGCCTCCATTGCCAAAGTCAGCATTTTATTGACTTTGTATCAATCTACAAGCTATATTTAAGTTTTCCTCAGAGCTTTCAACAGACACTTCTCTGATGCAGTGATGTTTTTATCTGAGGTCCCTCTGGTGCCTGTCAGTAACCCGAATAAATAAAGATGGAAAAAAGGCCAGTTTAAATAGTGTGGATACATCATTATTTTCAGTTCATGATCTTTTAACCCTAATTCCAGCTCATACCTCTCTGCACCCCAAGCCATTTTGCATTGATACTTAGAGTAAGACATTGTGAATTGCAGAATGAACTCTTTTATTGAATTAATCAATTCATATCGCTTTCCTATTAAAAAAAGTCATTAAAGTTTTGCCTCAATTCTGTAAAGAGTTCTTGGAAAGATTGTGTATGGAAAAGCACTTACACACAGACGAGATGGGGTTTTTTTTGATTTGTTATTTTGAAGTGTCTTCCTTTTGTGCCTGTGTGTAACTTCACTGACACCTTCTGTGATCTCTAGTAGCACATCTCACATTTAGCAATTCTGCAGTAGTTTCTTGGATTTAAGGACAATTTTATCCATATTGGTTTCCCAACTTTTTTGACCATAAATGTTTCATATACTACAAGCTGTTGTGGGCTTAGGATACTGGCAATGCCCCACCTCTGCTTATTTCCCATGGCATGCTGTAGCATATAGAAGAGATAACCTGTAGCTTTTGGAGATACCTACTGTGAGTTTTTTCTGGGCTTTTAGAGAATGGAATTCAGTGGCCTGTAAGTTTTCCTCATCCTGTGTTCCTAACTTGATAGCAAACTTAAGTCATCAAGGAGAAATAGCATAAAGGCAGCCCCAAAACTTTTGGACAGATCCAGGGCTGTACAGAGAAAATTTGTGTAACATGGAGGTGCAAGAATCACAGTAGGAAGGCAATAGCTATGCAGATGATTTGCAGTGACACAGATTTCAGATAGAAAATAACTTTGGGTGCTCATGAATAACATTCTGCTGGAGCCAAACATGTATGCACATTTCATATAAGCCCCTGTTGTTAGTTTTTTAATGGAAAACAAAATAATACTTTATTACTGTTGGCTTTTAAGCTTACAGAAGTCATTTACCACAGCTGCTTTCTCTGGGAGATTTAGTAACATATTTATGTTAATAGGAATTACGGATGAACACCAAAAAACAAATATAACTTTAGGATTTTATCCAACATCAGCTAACTATCTGCAATGTTGCCCAGTTAGAGCAACATTCCTTTATTTAAATTACTCTATTTCAGTACCTTCCTGTTCAGCAATGAAGGCGTATCTTCAATCCTGCCTGTGCTGTATAAGGGAATTTGAAAACAGTGGGACTGGAAGAAAACTCTGTGTATCTTGGCTGAAAAAACTGATGTTCCTGGTCTCTTTTCCCAGAGTCACAATTTTAAGCCTGTTGGTTTTGTAAATTCACACTGGTTTGTGCTGCACTTTTATTTCTGGAGACCTTGGGAAGTGTTTTTCCCACTGATTCCATGCTGGCAGTTTTGGCAGGCGCTGAAAAAATTGTGGGTGAAGGCAAAGCATTCAAGTGAAGTAGAATAGGTAGGCAGCTGTTAACATTATCAAATTGAAATACCCTGAGTACAGTGCAGCTCTGAAGATTAAAATCTCACTGTGTTATATGAGCTCAGAATTCAGCTGTCAGTTTAGTGGCCATTGTTACCATTATATGTTATTGATTTGGTGAAATCCTGGAAATTAAGCACTGTGAAGGGTGATGGGTGGGTCACCCTGCATAGTCACAGGCCCTGGTGGTGTTGGAAAGCAAAAATATTACTCTTTTTAATGTATTGAATGTTCTGCTCTCCAAATGTTACTTGATACTTCATAGCTCCTTGAAACTTTTTGGCCATTCATCATCCAGAATTTCA